CATATGCTCGCCAAAAAATATCTATTAACCTCTTAGCAATTCGTACGTTCCACCTTTTTCTGTTCAAAACTTTTAATAAAGCAACCTTTGCTTCCCACTTGAGGTTTAGCTTCAAAGACATCTATAGTTGTTTGGCCGTTCAACTACTTCTTTTTTAACCAATTACAAATTAAATCAGTGTCCCAAAGTGAGAAACTTTACAATTAAACTCACAACATCTGTATCAAAAAAGTCGTGATCCAGCATAGATTCATCTCCATCCAATTGTGTATATTCATTCATCAACAGACTACAACCAGGTTGTAGATGTTCCATAAATAATTTGGCTAACGATGGATTTTTCGTTTCAACTCCAAATATGTTACAAGAAAATTTCTGGTTTTTCGGAATGATGTCGCGCATGCGTTCAACTTCCGCATTTGTAGGAGACTGAAATACATAGTTGTATTGGTAGCGTATAAGCTTAAACCTTACCAACCATAGTTACACACAGACTTTCTGCTTTAATCCATTTCGTGAATTGAGCAAATACACGCAGTGCAGCGGTATACCTCGTCTCTTCTGGATATGTCATACCGACTTTGAGGATTTTGCGTTTTTCTTCAATCACTTCTCTGAAATCGAGCAACTCAATTAAGAACCATCTGTCAAAAAATATGAAATCTTTTTCAAATAAGCTGTTAAATGCCGATTGTCAAACCATGATTAATTAGCTTTCCAGCGAGATAGTACGGTAAAAAGTACCTGTTACAACATTAGAGACTACCTGCTCTGATTGTTACTCCTCTTTCTAACGGACAAAGGCAAAAAACTAACCATTTGGTCTATACATTACATACCTCGCAACGAAGCAACCACCACTATCCAAGTCTTGGAACTGCAAATCATAATGCGTCACGAAACAGCTAAGATATGGCGTTTTGATTTTGCGCGATATCCTGACCGTAACGGTATTCTGAAAATTGATAATTTGTAAATTGCTTCATTTATACTACCTACTCTTTCAACTAAATATACTTTACCTTTCTATCTCCAATAAATGTATTATCATCTAGATGCATCGACATTGACTCAATCTTCATGTTCGTGACAAGATTTAAACATTCTTTACTCAAAAACATAAATTTCCTTAACGTTGGCAATGATAAAAATTGTAAGATTTCCAGTTTGATTTCCATTGGTAATCTGTTCCATGGATGACAGCGGCATTCGGAATTATGATGCAATATAGAATTTTCTTCATTTTCCACTTCCTCCATAGGAGCGATCTGACGGAACAAGCTATTTGGAAGCAGAAACCAATTATTTAATGTTCTGCGGTACTAAGATGTTGAGTAATTCTGGGATTCTCTTAGGGCTATAAAGACAGGAGAAGAGCCAAGAAAAGCGATAGGTACTGCCTTCTGTGAGGAGCGATTAAAATCTTATTTCGGTTCGTGATACTAAAATTTTGTATTTTCTGATTGCAGACACAAGAGTTAAGGGTTTACAGGGAGATTTGAACAAAAATCAAATGCTCTTGCTCTTCATCTAAATACACGGTTATACTGAGCGAACTTATTTCCAAACATCCAAGCGACACTAGTTTTACATTTCCACAGGCATAGAGTGTGCGAAAAATTTCAAAAAAGGAATTAACAGAGCGAAAGATTTAAATTTGAAATAAGCTTTAAATTAAGCGTTCTGGAGTGAAGCAAACTGAAAAAAAATCATACACTAGGTCGTTACGTGACTATGATTTTATCTGCACGCTTTTTGCAGCGATTCCATAGACTTTTATTCAAGTGATTTGCATGTTGTAAAAGCCCT